GGCGCAGAGTCTAGTTGGAGGCCTGTAGCGAGCGGTGTCCCCCAGGGGTCAGTGCTGGCTCCAGTCTTGTTCAACATATTCATCACTGACCTGGAGGAAGGGACAGAGTGCACCCTCAGCAAGTTTGCTGATGATCCTAAACTGGGGGGGGTGGCTGACACAGCAGAAGACTGTGCTGCCATTCCGAGGGACCTGGACAGGCTGGAGAGTTGGGCGGAGAGGAACTTGATGAAGTTCAACAAAGGCAAGGGCAGGCTCCTGCACCTCGGGAGGAGTAATCCCAGGCAGCAGGACAGGCTGGGGGGGGACCTGCTGGGAAGCAGCTCTGCAGAGAAGGACCTGGGAGTGCTGGTGGACAACAAGTGAAGCATGAGGCAGCAATGTGCCCCTGTGGCCAAGAAGGCCAATGGTCTCCTGGGGTGCCTTAGGCAGAGTGTTGCCAGCTGGTGGAGGGAGGTGATCCTGCCCCTCTCCTCAGCCCTGGCGAGGCCTCACCTGGAGTCCTGTGTCCAGTTCTGGGCTCCCCAGCCCAAGAGAGACATGGCCCTACTGCAGAGAGTCCAGCGGAGGGCTCCAAAGAGGATGAGGGGACCGGAGCATCTCTCCTCGGAAGAAAGGCTGCGAGAGCTGGGCCTGTGTAGCCTGGAGAAGAGAAGGCTGAGAGGTGATCTGATCAACGTGTGTAAGTATGTGAAGGGGGAGTGTCGAGAGGATGAGGCCAGTCTCTTCTCTGTGGTGCCCAGCAACAGGACAAGAGGCAATGGGCACAAACTGAACCACAGGCAGTTCCACCTAAACCTGAGAAAAAAACGTGTTTCCTGTGAGGATGACAGAGCATTGGAACAGGTTGCCCAGAGAGGTAGTGGAGTCTCCTTCGCTGGAGTTATTCAAAACCCGTCCGGATGCGACCCTGGGAAAGATGCTCTGGAGGACCCTGCTTGAGCAGGGAGGTTGGACTAGATGATCTCCAGAGGTCCCTTCCAACCTCAACCGTTCTGTGATTCTGTGATTCTTTGGCACTGAGAAACCCCAAATCCCATTGTGCACCAAAGGCTCCCTTGGGGAGCAGCCTACAGTGATCTGCTGTACAGATCTACCCGTGCACTGTGTGTGCTGGAAGCCAGCCATGGAGTGGCCATCTGTACCCTCTCTCCAAACAGCCTTGGGAGCCTCCCAATTGGGGAACACCTCTGACTTTGCATTTGATTTCTGGATCACATAGTGTGACAGTGAATGAGTTGATGGTTTGATTGGATCCTCCATGGATTCATCTCTCCCAGAAATCACTCCTGCCCAAGCACCTCTTCCCACAGCAAGACTGGGGATGCATTTGATGCCATTCCCGCTTAAGAAGCCTTTGCAATGCTTGCTGTGCTCCTGTGCCCCGAGGCCGTACCATGGTGAAGTTGGATATGGTAGCCACGTTCAAGGGCAGGCCTCAGAGCAAGTGGATTTAGGGTCTGGCCATGGGTTTCCCCACTGAAAGCAGCCAGGTCTTGCTAGGAACTGGACAGCAGCAGTGCACACGCTTGGGGTTTGTAAAACACAACTGCCTCCCCTGAATAGGAGTGGGCCCAGTCCACTTCTGCAGAGGAGCATGTGCTTATAGCATGGTTGCTGTGTTGATGTCGGAGAGGGGATGGAAAGCAGGGCCAGTGAGCAATGGGACTCAGGTATCTGGGCACTGTGTCCCCCACCCACCCAGGATATGCAAGGCTCTCCTGGCTTGTGAGCCCTCATAGCCAGGACTTGGGGGCAGCATGACTGGGTGTGTGCATGTGTGCGGGGGCCCTGTGATCCTGGCTGTACCTGTGTGACTGTGTGCTGTGAATCTGGAGGTTTTCATTTCGAGAGGTTTCCTAGGAAACACAGAACAGCAGCTGTGATGGGCAGGGATCTCTCCTGAGACAGGTTCAGCCGCAGCAGGAAGTGGCCAGTTAAGAGCTAAGTGAAATGGCTTTCCCTGGTGCTTGGAGCTCCTTCATAAAAGGCCACTTTTGCTCAGCCCTGGGCTCTCTTTGAGTCTGGGAAGCTGGGTGTTTTTGAAAGCTCTCACCAGGTGGCATCTGATTTCCAGAAAGCCTTTGGAAATTGCTGCCCTCCCGTTGCAATGTGCAGCGTGTGCATTCCTTCAAATTGTAACCTGGGGCTTTGTCTTTGCAGGAGCAGAAAGATCCAGATCCGGAATATTCCCCCCCACCTGCAGTGGGAGGTAAGAAGCACTGCGCTTCCCTTCTGTCTCCCCTATAGGGGCAGGGTGATTATAAAAGCACCCCCATTTATCTCCTCCTCCTCTGTTCTTACCTGAGCAGTGGTAGCTGAGCTACCAGGAGTATGTGATCTGCCTGCGTTCCCCATTTATCTTCCCAGTAACCCGGGGAGGGAGGCAGAGAGTAAACTGTGGTGCAGAGGAGAAGCATCCTGCCTGGTTGTGGGTCCCAAGGCTGCTTTGAGTGCTGAGGGTCTTTGGGATAATGGAGGCAGGTTGGTTTAAGCAGGTAGGCGAAGGCTCCAAAAGACTTGAGATGGTGCTGTCTCGAACATGGCTGTGAGAGTGCCGCTGAGTCTGTCTGCCGATGTTTCTCTGCTCGCCTGCACGAGTGGCCAGCTTTGAGGAGACTGGAGGGTATTTGCTCTGATGCTCAGCTACTGCTTTCATCACTGTGAGGCTATGAGATGAGCAAGACAAGGAGATTGGCTACCTTAATTCATGAGCTGTGAGCCAAATTGAAGTGAGAGTGACAGAGTAGATGAGTCTTCCTGATAACAACACGACCAAGAGGTCAGACCAGTAAATACCAGCTGCAGGGCACCCTGGTGCAGTGCTGGGAGCGTGTCTTGTGTCCAGATTTGGGTTCCTGGTCATTGGCTGATCTGGAGTGAATCGGATATGCCCCGATATGCCCCGATTTGGGGGAGAAGGAACATCCAGTACTCTTTGAGATGAGTGTATTTGCTCAGCCTTAGAGATGGTGGCTGTGTTGTCCCAGGAGTGGTTTCCAATTCTGATGCCTGCTATTAGGAAGATGAGTGGAGAGATCAGCTCTTTAGTTCCTTTGGTGCCAGTCCTGTTTGTGCTAAGAAAGCCAACTCTTTCTTAGGATGCTGCTTTGCCAACTCTGAAAATAGTCTGACCGCTAAGAACGCAGATCCCATGTGTTTTCAGTGCCCTTTGCAGAAACTGGGCTTGCTGCCTGATCGTGCATTGGCGGGGCGGTACTCTCTCTAATAAGTCTCAAAGTGCTTTTAGTACATCTGTCACAACAGCTGGGTGCTGAAATCCAGCGGAGAGAGGCCGGGGAGCCTATTGCCTATTGCAGGTCCGTTGTTCATCGTGGGTGAAGTGGGGTTTGAGCCTGGCTCTCCCTCTGCCCCGTCCTTGTCAATGTTGGTTGAGGACAGCAGGAGAGTGCCCATCTGCCCAGCAGCCACTCCTACCTGCTTCACTTGCATTGTTTGCTGCTTTCTCTCTCAGGTGCTGGATGGCCTCTTAGCTCAATATGGGACGGTGGACAATGTAGAACAAGGTAAGACAGTCTAGCGTGGGTCCCCATCAGTGCAAAAATCCCAGCACCTCTCCCCACTTCTGCATGCCCTCTGCAGGAGAAAAAACTCATTTCAGGACGTAATAGGGTGAAATCTGCTTTGCCCAGTGATTTGGAACTGGGCTAAACCCTGCTGACCTCTGTTGGCAGCACAGGGCAGAGGCGGGACCCTTGTCTGGTGGCAAGATGACTTGGGTCATGAATCCTCCAGCCTCCAGTGCTTCTGCTGGGTTGGCTTCCTCCTAGTTGCCAGGCGTGTGCCCTTGTCTCTGTGAAGGGCACACGGATTGCGATGACACAACCTGGCCGCGTGCCGTTTGAGCAGGGCATGGGAAGCAGGTTTTGCCAGAGTGTGTCAGGAAGCACTGGGCTGCCTGCACACCAGGAGGTGCCCGGAGCCGATCCCATGTGTCCCTGAACTTCCAGGCCTGTGGCTGCCCATATTGCGCAGGCACAGGGCCGGTCTGGGACTGTGCAACAGTTTGCTTTTCTGCTGACAGCACTTGGCATTAATCCTCTCATGAAAATGAAATGCGTGTTATTGTTTGGGAGCTGCCCCTGCTATCGTATCAGCTTGCTCAGAGCAGCAGTGCCAGTTATGTCCAGCTGAGACATGCATTCTCTTGGCTCTCATCCCTCACCCCTGGTAAGGCTGGCAAGGCCTGGCATTGCAGCCTTGTAGACAAATGCCATAGCCTTCGTAGACAAACCCTGGATGCTGGATCCAGCCTGGAACAGCTGCAGATCATTAGCGAGGCCTCTATACGAGCACCTATGTGCACATCCCCGGCTGAATCTGGGGTTTCCGAGTTAGCAAGGCCATGGTCTGCACATGAAAGGGTGTGTTTTTGCTGCTGGATCTTTTTCAGGGCATTCACATGCAGAATATTTTGAGCGTATTTTTGAAAAGATGTTTCCTGGCCCTGAAGGGCTCAGTAGTCAGTTTTAAGACGGGACTGAGACGCTGGAAGCAATTTCTAGCACCACACCAGGAGGATGCTCAGAAAAATGTATGATAAAAGGCCCCGAGACGTGGTGTGCGCCTCAAAGAAGCCACATTCAAACCTGCTAGTCTCTCTTCCAGCCCTTTAGGACTAGATGCTCCAGCTGAACATGCCAAACTCCTGTTGGTCAGCTGGATGCCCAGGTAGCTTTAGATGGCATCTGTGTGTAAACCGTCCTTTTTATGAACAACACTGCTTCCCGCAGTCTGAAAGGCCTCTGCTGTCTGCTAGGGGATGGCGATTGCAGTGACAGGAGTGGAGTCTGTTCTCCGCAGTCTGCACTCTAGAGCCTGCTCTCAGGTGATACTCTTGCTCTTCGGAAATGAAACCCTGAGCCCGCAGTGCCTTTCCTCTGGATTCCAGCAGGCCTTTGGCAGACAGAACATACTGAATTGAGGTCTCAGAGGCCACGATCTTAAGTGACTTAACTAAATTACACAGTAGATGCCTCAGTGGCCATCACTTCTCTGGTCCCCGCCTGGCCACAGTGCACTTCTCCCCACTGGAGAGGTTGGTAAAGCGAGGCTTCCCAGTATTGATCTCCTGTGGATCAGTCCTGTTACAGAGAGGGGAATGGAAAGGCAAGGGAAGCCCTGGGAGCGCAGACGTGAAGGAAAAATATTGCTGCCCAGGGCTGCCTTGGCCTTGCTGGGTAGGACAGCTAGCACCAGTTAAACCCAGTGTCCAGCCCCACAGCACAGACTGTTAGTAACGTGACTTTTCTAGAGAAGCTGTAAGAGACCCAAGCAGTCATCTGCTTGGAGTGCAGACTAAAGGACCTTGAGTTGCCAAGATCTCCATCTTAAACCAGCAAAAGGCATCTCCTTTGCTTGTCCTGCTGCATCCTTGTTCTTGGGGGGAAAATACAGCAGCACTGTCTGGGTTCCCTCCTCACTGGCTGTATAATGGATCTTGGAGGCCCCAGCCCAGGCTCACAGGGTTTTTCAGAGGCACCAGACGATTGGGAGTCCACAGAGCGGAGCGGAGGCAGCTTTAAGACACTCATGCTTTGCTCACCCATGGATGCAGACTTGGGTTAAAAAACTTCTGAGGCGTTTGCAAGTGAAACGAGTCTGAATCATTGTCTTGTTTAATGATGCCTGTTGCTGCCCAGGTTGTAGTTATCGGGGAGTAGTCACCCTGGCCATCCAGACGAGCTCCATGCACAAGTTCACCCCTTACATGGTGGCCAGGGCCATCCAGTACGAGAGACTCATGCTCCAACTCTCAACTCCTGCGTTTGCAGTTGGCTGACGTACCAAGGGGGGGGCCAGCAGTGGAGATGAAGGCCCTCTTCTTACATGAGCTAACTCACCCTATGTTGCTTTTCCCTCAGTCAACACAGACACAGAAACAGCAGTTGTCAACGTAACATATGCAACTAAAGAAGAAGCAAAAGTGTAAGTCGCTTTTGTTTTGGTTTACCTTTATTTTCTCTCTCTCTCTCGCTCTCCCTCTCTCTCTCTCTCTCTCTCTCTCTTCCCCCCCCCCCGGGGATGTTGGTAGCAACCACTTTTTCTCATGCTCCACAGAACTGGCGAGGGCTGCTTTCTCTCCATATAATGAGGAGAGATGTTGTCTGTGATGCTGTGGTATTCTCCATAGAAGGTTGCAGCGCTTTAGTGTTGAGGGAGAGTGATCCAGGCCCCGACCAGCCCTGTTGGCAACTCCACCTGCTACAGACCTTCCAGACAGGACAAATTTACTGACAACCACCCTAACTTTTCCCTTTCCCAATGAAATCTATGTATTTTCTGCTGGTCATTTTTCTGAACTGCACCATTCTTTGTTATTTTTTTTCTTCTCTGAAGGCCGCAGGGGCTTGTTTCTAAGATCTTATAGTGTGATCTTCAAGTGTCTTAAGGACTGCCTGGTCTGTCCCCTTCTGGAGCCATCAGACTCCTTTTTAACAGGTGATTTTTAAATGATGTGGGAGTAAGTTTGCTGGATGGAAAGCCAAGTGCTTTCCTCAGACCTGAGTGGATCAAGCTGAACTTTCTAATAGCAGCTCTCCTTAAGACATAGCAAGCATATTTTAGTTTTAACTTGAGCTGTGTCATATCCTGCTTCTGCTGTGGTTCTGTTCACTTTGAAAGCCCAGTATTCATTGTCTCTTTCTACTGGTGGTTGCACCATCATTAGCCCTAAAAATGAGGTGGGGGGCTGAGTTCTCCTTCAGGGATCTGCTGATCCTTAAGGATCATTTGTATCAAGATGTGGGCCAGGCGGTACCTGGCCAAGAAAAAATGATGTGAATTGTCAGACGAAGGAGGAGGTCTGGATCCCTGTTCTTCTCTTTGTCAGGAGCCGAGCTCAGCAGATCTTGTATAGTGCTGTGACTTCTTTAGAATTACACTGAGTGATTCTTTTCTCCCTGAAGACAAGTACTAGCTGGCGTCCTGCATCCTCACCGTTTTGGGGCCAGCAGTCCCCTGCACCTTCTCCTCTTCCCCCACTGCTGGCCAGTCTCCTGCCTACTGTCCTCTCTGGGAGATGGGGTTTCTCATGGTCTCCCATGGTCTGTGCGCGTGCACCATTTGTCCATCTCTGGGCCATCAGCCCAGTCTCTACATGCTAGCCTTATGATTGTCCCCTTGTCTTCTGTGCCTTCTCCTCTTCCCTCCAAACAGCTCTCATCTGTTTTGACTTGCAATTCCCTTTGGATCCTACCTTTTCTGAAATCCTCTACCTGGTCGCAGGCTATATTCTCCATACTGACCTTGTCTTCAGAGAGCAAAGAGCTCTAGAAAAAATTTGAGTCAGGTCAGATAAGCAGTTCATCAAGGAACCCTCTTCACAGGTTGGAATCTGAAGCGTAAATTGGGAATGCACCGTATTCATCATTGGTACAGCTGGCCACCCAGCCAAGGGGTGACAGTGGTGGAATGTGGCCAGGTGCCTCTTGGGGAAAATTCAAGTTGGAGACCAAAATTTTCGGAGAGTGCCAACTTCTGCTTCCTGGAGCTAAGAAAAAGGCAAGCGACCCTTGCCTTGGCTTTGGGCAGCGTGCAGGCCTCATTCAAAATATTCCAATGAAAGAGCCATATGGTAACCGTGAGTGCCACATACATAGACTTAACTTTCTCACAGGAACGATACAAGCACAATACAGTACATCCACAGCAGTCATATTTAATGTAAAAAAGGAGACTGTCCTCATTAAAGAAAATAACAAGCACAAGAAAACCAATTAATAAACTTATAAAAGGCTTTCAAAAAGGTCCCCTTGCCATGGGGAAGACAGGTCTTTGGATGAATAAATAACTGGGTAAAAGATGAAGGGTAGAAGGGAGTGGTCAATGACCAATTGCTGAAGAGGATGGAGATCCACAGAGAGCAAATTGCTTGTGTGTTGTGTAGAGACGCTATAGAAGAAGCTTAAAGAAATGCCACTCGTGAAGAAAAACGTCAAAAGAATGGAAGAACCTGGTGTGGCTGTGGATCCATGGAGTAGTGGGAGTGGAAAGACATCCCTCAAGATCTATCATATCCAAAGGAAGGTAACAGAAAAAATTATTTAGGAGTCAAATCAGAAATGTAAGGACCATTTCAAGTAAAACAGTTCATTACAGACTACGTTAGAGACCAGCCCTAAATTAACTACTAGTAAGTAATTAACATATCTCATAATTAGTGGCCAGGATATTTCTGGTATAACTGAGGCAAGTCAAAACTGAGTTCATGTAAGAAAAAGCCATAGCTAGTCAGGCTAGTTCCCAAACACAAATGTTAATAAGTTTGGAGCCAGTTCTATGTCCTGCCACTTAACAGATGACTGCAGAGCACTCAAATATGAAAAGCTGATTCTGATGAAAAAACAGTTGTAGCTGAGGTTTTAGTTGATGGTAAACTGATGTGTGTAGAAAGCAAGGTTTTCCAATGCAAAAGGCAATGAGAGTTTTGTTCCATTTTAGAGAGGATGCAGTGCTGGTTTTTCTACATAAGAGCAGATGCTGCACGGCAGCATGGGACGGAAAGTTGCAGCTGCACAGAATGCCAGCAGAGACAGATGTGCCAAAGGATTTACCACTTGTCTTGCGAGAGAAAATTCAAAATGTATTTTCCAAAAAAAAAGGTGACGATGGACTGGAATGAATCTAAACCAGGTCACATACAGAGATTGCAGCTTCCGCCCAATGTTTCATATACCATTAGAAGTCTCATTTGTACAGAGGTTTAGATAAAGGTTTAAGTGTACCCAAACAAAACAGATAAAGAGGCCAGCTGGATACAATAAAGGTATGGTCACTTCTGCAAAACCAGATAAATTAAAGGATCCTTTAGTTGTTAAATATATAATGCTGTGACTCAGGAGTGATTCCAGTACTAACTTAGGTCCTCTCTGGATTCCTGAGACAGGAGATTTCAAGAATAAACTGTGCCCTAGTGTTGTGGTAGGTCTGGCCTGGTGCCTGACTGAGCCCCGTCAAGCCCCTGTTTGCTCGTGGACAACCCAGCAATCTCCTATCTGAATTGGCTCAGCACATGACCAACTAGTGAGGACAGAGACAGGAAGAATGATTTGCTGGTCCAGGAAGCTGGATCTGGTTACTCGGCCAGCCGAAGAGCAAGGCAGGGAGAGAGTCCTCCTTGGGCAGAGCAAAGTAGCCATGCTGGGTGCACAGTCCGCTCCAAGCTGACCTGAGAAGGGTGGCTGTGAGCAGGGCAGTGGAAGGTACCACGGGCCATAAATAAATGTATCATGAACTCAAGCGTCTTGGGATGTTTGTCCAAAAAGGGTGACAAAGAGGGGGCTCTCACCAACACAGCACTGCTTGGTACTTGGGGATAAGAGACCTCAGGATTAATGAAGACACCATGATCAGTCACATCTAGCTGGACTAAAGTCAGTCCTGTGTGGTGACGGCTCAGTGCTCTGCAGCTTGACACACAACTGAATGGTAATCGGATGCAGAGAAGAAAGGCTATGGGTTGGTTTCATAGGTATGTGTATTCAGTTTAAAGCACATTGTATTAGAAACAGATCACAAGGAAGACCTCAGCAGAGAAATCTAACTGCAAGGTACTGCATAGATTTCAGAAAGGGATTGTGAGACTGCAGAAGTACTCATTAAATGTGAAACATAGGCCTGGCAAGGAGCTTCTTACAGCAACGTGCTCATATGCCTGCCTATAAATAGGCAGAACGAAATACAGCAGAAAGGGGAATTGGAAGTAAATACGGCTCAAGCCGTCCCCACTTGTAAAAGTCATCACAGTCTCTAATTGCAACTGCAGCGTGGCTCTGTATCACACAGCTGAGAAGGAGTTTAGAGCAAATGGAATAGCCCAGGTACTTCAGCCCTAGCCTTACTAGAGCTAAAAGGAGAAATTGGGATTCGTGACAAAGGGCACCACATGCCACATCCTTTTCTTTGGCACTTTGGCTGTTGTTCAGAGGACCTCTGTGTTCTGTCCCTTGCTGCACGTATCCAGAGAGCCTGTGAGACCATTTCCATGCCATGCGTTAGCTTCTGCTGGTGTGCAGAGGGGCAGGCCCGGCCCTGACCAGCATCCCTCCTAAAGGAACTGCTTGGCACTACTCTTCCCCAGCTCTCATTCCCCTCGTAAGCCACCAGAGTCCACCTGAGACAATGTGCACCCTCAGCACATCCCTTTGGCTCTTCCTGTGCCCTGGGAGGACAACCATGGCAGGTTCCACGGAGTCCAGGTGAGACAGGCTCTCGCTCACCATTTGCTCCCTCCTGGTTGCTCTGCCAGCTGCTCTTGCCCAGCTCAGGTGACCTTGTCCCTTCCTCCAGCTGGCTCTGGTGAGCCTGAACTTCACTCATTCGCAGGTGTGTCCCTACTTGCACAGCCACGCGCTGGCCTCCCATCTGCTTCATGGCTCTTTACCTCACGTGGTCTCACTAGCTGTTTTGAGGAGTCTATAGTAACCCCCTCTGGTCCTTTCGCGGAGTTACGGGGGTGGCTGTGCAAAGCAGCTTTGAACAGGCCTTTCTGACCATCCTTCTTTGCCACTTGAGTTCATTTCTGGATGTTGCCTTCCGTCTGCAGATTTGTAAGATGGTCGCGTGGACACGCAGCATAGGACATCCTCCCTCCCTCTCCTCGTCCTGCCTGGGCATGGTCTGCCAGTGTAGGGCTCGGGAACATTGTCCACCCTTGCTGGGGGTGTCTTCCTCAGTGCAATGACAGCTGAAGGATTCTGACTTCTCTCAGTCACCTTCAGAGCAGGATGAGAGACAGAAGGTGTAGGAAGGGAGAAGGAATTAGGATGGGAGAGGGTCCATGTCCTGTCGAGGTCTCCGCAAGGGCAAGTGCTCAGGGCTGCCAGAGACACATACACCTCCTGGAGAGACATGCTCCTGAAGCCTCAGCCTCACCATCCCCTTCCTTTGCTTGCCTTTCAGAGCAATTGAGAAGCTCAGCGGCCACCAGTTTGAGAACTATTCCTTCAAGATTTCCTACATCCCGGATGAAGAGGTGAGCTCCCCTCCGCCCCCTCAGCGATCCCGCCGCGGGGGCCACTCTTCCAGGGAGCAGGGCTCCTCCCCGGGGGGCTCCTCACAGCCCAAACAGCTCGATTTCCCACTGCGGATGCTGGTGCCCACGCAGTTTGTTGGTGCGATCATAGGAAAGGAGGGCTTGACCATAAAGAACCTTACTAAGCAAACCCAGTCCAAGTAAGTACCTTGAATGGTTTTGTTTCCTTCCACAGGACTCTGTAGGTCCCCAGCACATGGCACACTTGGTCAGAGGCAGGGCAGGCTATTCTGTGTGCTGAGAATGTTTCGTTGTTTTTGACTGTCAGCAAATGCTGTTTTATCTGGTAATAACCTTCAGAGGACGGTAGCGAGTGCTGGGGGTGAGGGAGATGCAGAACTTTGCCCCCACCAGGTACAGCCTAATAGTGCATGGGCCAGGCCAGCTAAACCTGCAGCCTGAATCCAGAAACAAGCTGTTGCCTCCTGCTGGGCAAGGCCGTGCCTTTGCCTGGCCACTGGGAGAAACAAGTGTTGGGTGCTCCCAAGCTATCTGCCCTGTTATTATCGCCTTGCAACACTGAGTCTTGCTTCAGACCCTGTTTCCTGAATTGTTGCTGCTGGCCAGTGAGGTCTGAGCGCAGCAAGTCTCTTAGAGGGGGATCCACGCTAACTACCACCGGAAGCTGGTTTCTGAGGCCCAATGCTTTAAAAAGCGGGGGAGGCCTGGCCCTGCATTGGGCTTCAGAGTACAGCAGCAAGCTCAGGTAGCACTGCCCAAGCAGATCAGCCTGTTTCTCTCAGCCAATATTGCTTTGACTGTGTAGCTCTCACCCTATGAGAGTGGCTCGGGCAAAGGCTTCAGAAAAAAAATGGTAAATTTGGCATAAAATGTCTTAAGGGGAATCCCAAAAGCAGTGACCGGTGCCCATGTGGTCTTTGCCCTTGGGATTTGCTCATCCTCCTGCGCTCATTACGGCTAGAGATATTCTAGGGGGAAACGTGGCACTGGGTGAAGAACGTTGCCTTGAAAGGGATGTGCTTTTCATAACTGTTTGAAGCCTTTTTCTCAATCTAACATTTTTTAGTTTTGAAAAAAGAACTGTCTTGCTGAAGTTTTCCATGTTTCTCTTGTTAATGTTTACATTGATTTCATTTCTGATTTTCTGCATGGTTTTCTCGCACGGTTTGTTCCTGCCCAGATTTGTTTGTGTTTAACCCAAAGCTGTCTTCTCCCATGTTCATCATCCTGAAACCGATGATCCCACAGGACATAGGACTCCTGTACCAGAACCATCCACCAGGGCGTCCTATTTCTCAGAGAAGCTTTTAGAGGAAATTATTTAAACCATAATAGTGCATCTACTTGAGCCGAATTTCTTCCGGACCCAGCTGGTAATCAGCTGTCTCTGAAACATGCTGACCACTACTGATTTTTGTAATATGTTTTCCAATGTACATGTCCTAGTGGTTTGCAAATCGAAGTAGCGTATAGCTCAGCATAGCTCAGGAGGATGCTGTCTTTGCTGGTAATCACTTTGGCCCGTGATAGGTAAAGACCGATGCCAAAGCCTGACTGTTCTGGTACGAAAGTTAATCTCCAGTAAGAGAAATATGTGAAGATATGAATGTCTGTGTCCCTTGACTGAACCTAGGACTCAAACTTTGCTAATCGGTCAACCTGAAAGAGAAGCTGCCCTGAGAGGGTAAGACCTGTGTCTCAGCATACCTTGCAGAGAGCAAAGCTGAGAGAAGACCACAGGCCAATTCCTTTCTCTGTGTGTAATCCTCTCTCCTTGTCCATGAAGCAACCTAGACATGAATGTTCCCTTGCAGCATGTAGAGGTTGTGGGTGGCTCCTATTAGCAAGAAGCGATGATCTGCAACTGAGCAAGTCAAATTACATAATTTGGTTGTAACAGACATAATGCACACAGATTGCAAAAAGAGGTTTGTACAGAAAGGAAGCCAGAACTGTAGGGAGAGGAGCTCTTTGATGAGACCAACAGCTCGGTCTCGTCATAGAGTGTGGCCACGTAGCAGTTGTGAAGGCACGTGCTGCCCTCCCAGCTGCAACGTGCTAGCACATTTTAGTCAATCCCAGTCAGCCTCAAACCCTTCTTCTTCAGGTGAGTCCCCTCATGTGTTCAGCAGCGGGTGTATCCTTGCCCTGCTACCCGAGACTGGAAAGTTTTCCTTTGCATGCCCTGACTCCTGCTCCATGCGTGGTGTGAAAGGTAGGATGCGCCTGCTGCCAGTTTCTCCTGACCGTGCGCTTGAGGCGAAACACTCACTGCTGCTTGGAACAGTTTCCCCTGCAGAGCCATCTCTCCTTGCGTATTGGCTTCCAGTGCCTGGCCTGAAGACCTTGTGCCACGGAGGAAGGCCATGCTCCGTATTCTGACCTGTGTTTTGGCTTGCCTGAGAGCAGGCCACATGCCACAGCGTGCCACCACCTCTGCCCCAGCGTCAAACAAGGCGTGAACCTTGTCAGACCTGGGAATTGGCGGGCCCATGCAGTTGCGGGAGAGCATCTTCTGGGAAGTGAGACAGCCTCGCTCTGCCTCCTCCTGCCAAGCCAAAGCAGCAGCTCTGGCCTCCAGCGCACCTTCTTCCTCTGGCAAGGCCCTGGCACAACCAACATTGCGCTCTTGTGTTGACTTCGTAACTGCAGCCTGGTCTGGGGTGTCAGCCCACAGCTCTGTCCCTGTTCAGGGCATCCTTGGGAGGCTTCAGCGCTCAGGTCCCCTGCACCTTTTGCTGGGATCCCCCTCCTGAGGTGTGTTCTCAGGGGCACTGATCCTAGCACACCTGGGAACAAGGGAGCTAATGAAACCCTGTGGCAGAGTCCTCGCTCTTACCTAGAGCAGTCCCGGGTCCCGGAATCCTCCAATTACATGGGTTTACCCCTGCTTCCACATGCAGCAATGGCCAGAGATGCTTTCTTGAGCTCCAAAGGGCAAAATTTTCCCCAAATTGAGCCTTTTCTTTCTTGACTGAGAAGGAGCCCAGGCCAAGAACCCAGCCCAGAGGACCTTCCAGAGCACTGCTGCCCTTGGTAGTTTAATGAAGAGGGAGGACCATCATTACTAAGCAGCCGAGAGGCAGGGGTACCTCAATACGCACATGGTACAGTCCTCTGGAGAGGGCTTTCCCTTCAAGACCCCTGGTCTCTGAAGCATTCCCTGGCCACCCTAAAGTGCCTTGGGTTTTTCCTATTGCACCACAGGCAAACCTGCCGCTTCCCTGTCCCTCTGATCCGACTGTCTGCTGCCCCAGTCTCCTCTTCCTGTAGTACCCCGGGGCCCCAGGCTAGCTGCTGCTGGGTATATGGGGGGTTGAAGGCCACCTTTTTCACCCTCCTGTTGGACTGGCACTGTGCGACAGTATCCTAGGACATTCTGGGAAGTCTGGAGCCCTCCTCCACCCTCCTGCTGTTTGGGGTGGGACATACCCAAATACAGCAACTGCTTCCTGGCACCCCATCTCCTCTGCTCAAACTGAACTCATGTATTTGCACGTTCAGGTTTGGGGTGGGGACGGCAGTCATCAAGACCCTCACCTGTGGTTGTTCAGAATAATTGTCATTTCAGAGCATCCATTCGGTCCATCTGTGCTGATGGTCTCAGCTTCTCTTCGTTACAAAGGCATATCTCTGTGCTCTTAGCATGGCTTTGTCCTCATATGTCAGTGATGGACTGGTAGAGGATCACCATGGTGCTATGCTTTCTGGTCTTGCCTCACAACACTTCCCATACTCACCAACCTCAGTTACTTGTGAATTCAAGAAGTTACCCGACTCCATCCAGTTAGTGGGGTTTGTCAGGACTGTTGTAGATTCCCATTCAGTCTACCCCCAGCAGATTAACAGAGCTGTCAGCGTCAAGCCGGTGTGATATCGCAGCACCCCTCTGGAGTATGAGCCTGTCATCATCTTCTTTGGCACATCATAATGTATTTGCCTTCTCCCCTGCTATGGCAAAGGGAATCGCAACGGATGTCTCCCTGTCTGCCAGGAGCTTCCTTGGCCACTTGGCTGGCCCAGGATCAGTGTCTCTGAAGGAACAAATTCTTCATGTCATCATGCTGGAGCTCCACAGAGTCCCTGAATATCTTAGAGGATGTCACATGCAAGTGGCAGCATACAACTTGGCCACTGTGTGTTGCAGACACAGCCTAAGGGAAGTCAGATCCACCTGTTCTGTTGGGGAGTGACAGAGGCATAGACGTGCCTAGGAAGGTCGGGTTCTCAGGGGTGCTGATTCCTCCAGCACTCCTCCGGACAATCACAGCTCTCCTGCCCAAGCACTTCGAACAAACAGACAGACGTAAGAGATCTGCTAGACAGATGTGATCTGCTAAAGGGATCAGACCCTGTCCCTCCTTTCCCTGCTTCAGTGCTTAGCTCTAATCACACTGGGGTGCATAGTGAAGTTGATGGAGTCAGGCTTTTCTCTTAGCTTAGGGAAGGTTCACATAACTGCTCCCTGTCTACCCATTGCCTTCCAGTTGATTAAATATCCATGTTCCAACATTCTGGTTCATGAGTTCCTGGAAGAATTGGTCTGTACAAAGCCACCGTGACCCAGTGGTGTCCTAACATTGCATTGAGGGAACCCTTTGGAGCACAACCCTTGGTCTTGCAGTCTCTGCCCGGCAGTGACCAGTGCCAATCTCAGTCAGCCCATGGATCTCTTACAAAAACAGGAAGTTGGAGCGTCCGGTCTTGGCCTGAGGGCATCCTATTGGAGATGAGTGACTGTGCAGCGTTTCCATTCCAGGCCCTTGCTGCGCAGCCAAGCAGCAAGTACTGCAGCGTACCCAGAAGATCCAGGCTCGCACAGCCTCTTCTATGATAGTGCCGTCTGCGGCTGGCTGACAGGACCCTGAGATTGCTGCCAGGTTACTGACGGCAGGATGACCGCGCAGAGTCATCCTCTGGTGGAAAGAACGTGTGGACACACTTGGAGAAGAAGGAAAGGTTGCTTACAAGTAACCCATGTTCTTCAAAGTGCGTGGTTCACGTACCGGAGTCTTCTACCCTGCTTTCCTCTCTCCCTCTTTCTCAGGGCCTTTGCCAGGTACGGTTCTGCAGTGAGGAACTGAAATGGAAGCAGGCATGTTCCTCCTTTCTGCCATGTGCTGAGGGGAAGGATCAGAGGAACTAGAGCACAGTCTCTACAGAGTCCGCAAGGGAAAACTTTCTGGTCTCACATGGAAGGGCGTGAGTACAAGTGCTGTTGTTAACGTGCACGTATGACTCCATGTCGTGAAAAACACTGGCTACTGGTAAGTTACCTTTCTCTCCTGAAGAACATGCAACAGTCCTGGCAGCTGCTGTTCTCTGTATGGCCTCAGGTATTTTTCACAAAAAGACTGAGGTTGGAAGGGACCTCTGGAGATCTCTAGTCCAGTCTCCTGCTCCAAGTGGAACTAGCGTCAGAGTTAGATCAGGTTGCTCAGGACCTTGTCCAGTTGAGGATTTGTTCTGCCCTGTCTTGATGCATCGTTTCATTTTGCTTGACATCCCTCAGTTGCCAGGCAGACCTCAGACCTCAGATCATAGAAGCAATTGTAGTCCAGATCTGAGTCAAACCTGATGTAAACCAACCGAAACAAAATACTACCTGGGCTTACATGAGACAGGGTGACAGTAGCTGTACATCAAGACCCGGGTTCACCCCAAAGATTGAGCTGAGCAGGTGCTAAAATGAGCCTTTCTGAATAGTGAGCTGAGCTCATAAGCTCTCAAAAGCCTTCTTGCAATGTCAGTCTGATCTCAGGGGGCTTCTCTGCTGACTTTTCCACTGTAGGGTTGACATCCATCGGAAAGAGAATGCTGGTGCAGCTGAAAAGCCCATCACCATCCATGCCACACCAGAAGGGTGCTCTGAAGCATGTCGCATGATCCTTGATATCATGCAGAAGGAGGCTGATGAAACTAAATCGTAAGTATAATACCCAGTACACATGCCTTAGCAAAATCAGCAAGTTTGGTGGAAGGGATGGAAATTCAGTCAGCTAATTGGCATGTTTAGAGAGCTCACCGATTACCGCTGGAAGAGTCCCAGAGCGTAATACTAAACTCAATGATAAAGAAACCATCTTTTGTTTACCTCGCCAACTCAGAGTCACTGCTTAAAAACCATTTCTGCACTGGTGTTTCTTCTCATCTGCTCTTCCCTCTTTGGTAGTGGAGTAGGGTTCTTGCTGGGAGAGAGAGTTTCACCCTAGAGTAACAGAGGCAATTAAAGTTACTTGAAAATTTAATATCAGCTTTACAAAGAAATGAGAAACACACATTTGAAACCAAAAATATCCGTTGTTTAAAATGGAAAATTAAATGGAGATAAAATGGAAAACTAACTCAAACGGAAAAAAGAAAGGAAAAATGGAAAATTACTGTAAATAATGTCAAGCCAGAAGAGTTTTCTCTTTTGGTTTCAGCTTTTTTCAGGTAAGATCTATACCGGTTTTTTGACTAGATTTAATTGCAACTTGTTCTTCAGTGACAAGGCAATAACATAACACGGAAATTCAGGATTGATAAATGTAAAATGATCTGTGAGCGGGAGGCAGTCTTATCATCACACAGACAATGGCAGCTGATGAGCAGTTGGCGGTATTTAGGACTCCAGACTGACTCTGGACTCTCTAGTCTGGAGAAGGGCTGAATGGGGAGGGAGATGATAGGAGTCTGACATCGTTGCTTGCAGAGCTTGGACAGGGACGTAGATGCCCACCACTTGGATGCAGATGAAATGGTCTGCTGTTTGACTCAGACCAAACCCCTGTCAGTGCCTTCTCCCGCAATAACTTTTCCGTGGTGTGACAGTCAATACCATAGAAGTCAACAGCTTAGGCAGCTCCAAAGAGCACATAGGCAAACTTGCGTAACAAAAGTCTGCTAGTGCCCATGAAATGTGAGGTGTGACATCAGGCTCAAGAGGTCCGTGAGCTTCATTTCGCCAGAGGCTGGGGAGGTATAATGGCGGGAAACCGGCCTGCCTTGCGCTTCTGCTCCTTCCACTGTGCTTACTACTGCCTGTTGCTGGAGATAGGTTTCCAGGCTAGGCAGACCTTTGTATGACTCAGTAAATTGAGTTTTTATTTTTGAATTCATTTTAGAGCAGAAGAGATTCCCTTGAAAATCCTAGCACACAACAGTCTGGTTGGGAGGTTGATTGGCAAGGAGGGCCGAAACCTCAAGAAGATTGAGCAAGACACGGGCACGAAGATCACAATCTCTCCGTAAGTCCTGGTGGACGCTGAGCCGTGCCCTCCAAGGGCAGGGCTGGGCCTCACACAGTCCAACACACTTGTCCCTGGAATCAGAAAGCAGTCCTGTCCTCCTGCACATGTTCCCCTTCGCGTGTGGGCGGTGGTGTTGGTTAGGGAGACGGCTCGTAGCCTAGGAGGTGCCAACACCACCTCAGGGGAGGAATGCTCTCCTCTAATTTGAGAGTTTTCCTATTTTTTGACTTGAAGAAAGTATAACAGCATCTCTGCTTTTGTCTGTATGTGAGCTAGTTTGCAGGATTTAACCATTTATAACCCTGAGCGGACCATCACGGTGAAAGGCAGCACGGAGGCATGCTCAAATGCAGAAGTGGAGATCATGAAGAAGTTGCGAGAGGCCTACGAGAACGACGTCGTGGCCGTCAATGTAAGCTCCCGGACCTCCTGCCTGCGATACCAGTGCTTCAGAGTCATTACCAAGAAAACCAGACAGAACTGGGAGGGGGTCATTCTGTTATGGAAAGGGCTCGCCCGTCACTCCTGCACTATTTCATCCAAACCTCAGCAACCCCATACAACATTTTACCCATTTCTCTGTGTCTTTACTTTTCTAGCAACAAGCCAATCTGATTCCAGGCTTGAACCTCAGTGCTTTGGGGATCTTCTCAACAGGGCTGTCCATGCTGCCATCTGCCACGGGGGCCCGAGGCGCTGCTGCTGCCGCTCCTTACCACCCATTTGCAGTAAGTGCAAGAGATTTTGGGGTGCTAGTGAGTTATTCTTGGAGGCCGAGCAGTCACTAGACACTCTTGTTCTAGCTCTTGGGGTTGGGCAGACACCATGCCAGTAAGAGTCATCTCATGGAGTCTTGAACAAGAGCTCTGACTCTTGGCAGTTTTAGGAAGATGTGCTAAAAGCCCTTAGACTTGCTTGGGTCCCCCAAGTTCTGTGCACTTCTGAGCTCTGCAGCCTCCCTCTCCTGCAGAAATTTTACACTCTGCAGCAGCAAAGGGAAGAAAACAGTGAATGCAAATCGCTTATCCCTCCTTGGATTTAGCTCCCAGGAAAGTGCCGTAATGTTGTGTTGAACTGCTTCACCCTTGCAGATCCTGCAGATCCTGCAAAATGTCTGTGTGTAAGGACTTGCTGTATCTCAAGGTTACTGGCCTGTTTTTTGTCCAGCTCCCCTTGCAGGTGTGCTTTGTACACATGTAGGTGTGAGCCAGAGGCAGCCTGCCCAAATGCCTGTACGCGAAAGCCTTACAGGACAGTGCCTGCAGCTTGGTCTGTGATCCTGATGCCCTGGGCAAACGCAAAGCCACAGCCGTGTCCTCATGGGAGCGGTTCCTGGTGTGCACTCAGTGCGTGCACCATGGGTCTGTTTTTGATGGCTTCCTGCATCCTAGGCAGTGGGACTACTGCCTGCGAAGGTCCATGCTGTGTCAGGACTCCCTGGGATCTCTGCAGGGAGGTGCAGAGGCCGTTGGCAAGTGTGCCATGTCTTGCCATAGCCCTCGCTGGCTCTACAGCTCCCTGGCGAGACTGGAAAAGGCGCAGCCCTGTGTGTCAGGGCTATGCCAGCAGTGCATGGAAAGCACAGGGAGGTTTCCTGCTGTGGTGCCACACAGGTCAGATTCAGAAACAAGTACTGTGAGCAGTCATAGCTAGAGGGAACAAACTGTGACCTCTCTGTCATAGGAGCTGGTAAAATGACTGTATACACTTGGAGCGTGCTTGAGTACTGTGCACTTGGCAGATGCCTCTTTCAGCCTTGCTGCTTTCCCCAGCGCTCAAAGAGTTGTGTTTGCTGGGAGTTCATCTTCATCTGATTTTGCAGGCGAGGTTTTTATGCTTTCTCCTGTGGTGCTGCAGTGCCTTTGGGAAGCCAGGCTGTGGGTGACTGCAGAGATGTGGGGTGAAACAAACCTCAGGAGCCATTTTGAAACCTCTGAGATTGCACATGGGGCAGGAGCAGGCCAGCACCTGAAAAACATGCTGGCGAGAGCATGCATAACACTGCAGCCTTGTGCTGAGGCTGGGGAGGAGGTCTTCCGCTCTGCTTTTGAAACGGTGCATGCATCACATATGTGAACAGATTGCAAACACGTGTTTCTCCTAAGGCATCTGTGTGGCAGCCAGAGGGCCCATGAGGACAGTGGGCAGAGGTTAGACAGGCTTTCAGTCTGATTTGCTGGTAGAGAAGGTTTGTCTCGTACCTATTAGCATCTGCAAAGCACCCCTGGAAAGACCAAGTGACTAGAGTTTAAACCTTGCAAAGGAATTCATTGTGAGCTCTGCAATCTGCATCTTTTAGTCTCTCTAAGTAGTTCTGCTTAGATACTGTTAAGTGCATGGAGAATGGAGAATGAGTTAATTTACTTCTACTGTTTTCTTTTTCTGAAAACCATAGCAGCAGAGTGATCGGAGAAGAACGGTGAGTTCAGAGTCAGAATACTAGGGTATGCAACAGACTGAACGGATGAGTGTGAATGTGGTATTTGCGCTTGCGGGATGTGTAACGCACAGCTCCCCACCGCCTGTGAACGTGTCTGGTCACCTGGGCTGGCGTGGCAGGGTTGAGCGAACGATAGCTGGGCTCCCACTGCAAGCACTGAGTAGGGCAAGCGCTTTGGTAGCTTCTTTAAGAGAAAAAGCTGAATGTTTTAATACGCTGAGCTCAGAAGGGCCAAAGCCACGTGGGACTGCTCTGCTCTTTACCGTCATTCAAACTCGACATCTGAGGCCCCTCTCTGCCTCCTTTTTTTCTGGACGTTGCTGAATTTCGAGCCAAAAACCAAACCAAGCCCCTTCACTGTCATCCTTAAGACTTCCCATCAGAAGCGGAGGGGTGCTCAGCTCCCCAGCAAAGCACTGAGAGCCAGGATCTTGGGGGGAGGCTACTCTTGGGAGACTTGCATGTGTGTCAGTGCATGTGTGTGTGTGTGTGTGTGTGTGTGTGTGTGTGTGTGTGTACTACCAGCCCTTGGAGGGAAGGATGCTCTGCCTGTGTCAGCCCAGTGAAGTGGGTCAGGTTGCCTTGCAAGCAAGTGGAGCCTTCAGGAAATTTGTTTTTGACTAGGCTTCTGCACCCTGCGGTGAGAGCAGCTTTTGTTGCTCCACAGACTGGTAAAATGGGTGAGGCATATGGCAAGGTCTCCTGAAAGGCATCCTTTCCTGTTTTGGATTTGTTTGCCCAATACTTTGCCTGGACTTTTTAAAGCTACGTTGGATAAATTCGTGGGAGCTATCACCTCTACCATGAGCCTTCTCTTGTCCATAGTAAAAACCAAGTGTAGTCAGACAGTTAATAGGAAGCCAGCTTAGCTCCTAGGAGGTGACATTTGATTTCCACCTTAATAGCATTCTTGGAAAGCATTAGCACGGTGGTTGTGAGCACAGGGCAGACGTTGCTTCCTCCTAAACAGCATCTGTATCACAAGTCAGAAAGTTCGTTTCTGAAGACAAGGGTGGTCTATGATGGCAAGGAGTGGAGGGTCCATTTGTATGGGGCTCCTCAGCCAGGCAGCTAATAGAGAGGTGATTTGAGTGCAGCTTCCCTGCGTCCCACAAAGAAGCAGCTGTCCTGAGATTTTCAGTGCTCAGCCCCATCAGCAGGACTGATGCGCTGCTAGTGGCTGTAATTTAAAGCAGAGCTTTAAAGAACTGGAGAAGATGGAGGAAGGGAAAGGAGGAGAAGACAGCTCACAGTGAAAGGATTAAGGACATCAATCTGGTTATTATGCTGCAAAGAAACTGGAGAGTTGCTTTGGTCTCCACGTCCATTTTTCCTGAGAAACTGCTGAACAGGAATGGACTCTTTGATACAGGAGTAGGTTGCAGGAAGAGCAGCCCGTGGCCAGAAGCAAAAGTCAGATGAAGTGCAGTAGAATAGACAATTGCAAGCTCAGTGTACAGGTGAGCAGGCAGGATAAAGTCCAGTAGGAGAGCGACCATCTCCTCGCGTTTGCACATTCGGGCGTGGTGCCCTCGGAGCTGTGCTAGCCACCCACGATTTGTCAGGCTTGGTGCAAGAGTGGCAACATCTCAGGGCACTGAGTTTAGAGAGAGGGCTAACAGCAAATGCGGTGTGTGCAGCAGGTGAGGAAGCTGGGTCCCTTCCTGATTTGGAGCAACTGTGATTTGCATGCACCATCTGGATGTGTTTCCCTGAATCCAGAGAGGAGAAGGCTTATCTCTACTTCCAGAAGAAATATGTATGCCTTGCCCCTCTGATGTATTAGAGACTTTGAGGAGTTGAAGACAAACAACATCACCCAATGTTAAGGCTTCCATTTTTTCCCTTGGTGCTTAAATCTCTTTCTTTGAGTACCCCAGCATTCACTGGGGTAACATCCGCTTTGGAGGTTTCAGTAGGACCAGCACAAGTTAGAGAGCTCAGCAGTGGTTTTATTGGACTAATTAAACATCCCAGCTACAGGTAGATGGATAGAGTGGCTGTAAAGTTGCAGAAAGCACATGCGCACATTCAGAGTGCGTCAGTCCTGTGTTTGGATGTCAGTGAGTAGACACTCGTATCTGCCTTGAAGATACTGAGTCAGCCTATGAGCCAGCTCCCAGTCCCCAGCAGGATTTAGCACACTGACAAATGCCACCGGCTCTGCTGTCTGTGGCTTTTAATGGATACAAGGTCCCTTGGGTTTCTGAGTGTCTGTGATGTGGAGAGCCCCAGGTACTACTTGGCAGATGCTGTAGCCCCAGAGATGAACTGTCGTCACCCCCAGGCTCCCACCTCTAGGGCTGTCCCCTTGGCTGCAGGTCTGGGTATGCAGTGTCTGGTCCTGCACCTATTGCCACATTTTCTCCCAAGCGCTACCGAGATCTTTTCCTGCATCTCTGAAGCGTTGGTTGTGCTGGGGGAGTTGGTGTGGTAGAGATGTCTTGGCCGCGTCTCCCCACGGCAGTTCCCGCAAGGAGTCCCCATCCTCCTGTGCAGCAGCTGTGGGCACCTTTGCTGGCAGGAGGTGATCTGTCCACTGTCTGAAGAGGCACGGCTGTACTGACCAGGCCCCTCAGCCCAGGCCTGACTTCTGGGGCTCTCTCTGGAGCCCCTTCAGATTTTTGCTGACATTTTTGTCTTTCTCGTCTTGGCTCTGTACTCCAGGATGCTGGATTCTCACCACCTGCTTTTATCTGTGAAGAGATGCACTCTTTTCTCCCCATTTCCAGCCTGGCTGTGACTCCCCCAACCAGGTCTTGAGTGAACATTTTCTTAGCCAGTACTTCCCCTGCTCTGAAGGGTCCCGAAAGCAGCAGGCTGAGCCTTGCAGGGCCAAGGCCCCAACCAGTCTGGAGCAGAGCAAAGCAATGCCCAGATGCCCCCAGGACTGGGTGGTTCACCGTGGTCCATGCGGGGGTCAAATATTCACAGAATCACAGAATCGTTTAGGTTGGAAGGGACCTCTGGAGATCATCTAGTCCAACCTCCCTGCTCAAGCAGGGTCCTCCAGAGGGTCCTTTCCCAGGGTCGCATCCGGACGGGTTTTGAATAACTCCAGTGAAGGAGACGCCACTACCTCTCTGGGCAACCTGTTCCAATGCTCTGTCACCCTCACAGGAAACACGTTTTTTTCTCAGGTTTAGGTGGAACTGCCTGTGGTTCAGTTTGTGCCCATTGCCTCTTGTCCTGTTGCTGGGCACCACGGAGAAGAGACTGGCCTCATCCTCTTGAGACTCCCCCTTCAGATACTTGTACACGTTTATGAGATCGCCTCTCAATCTTCTCTTCACCTCCTGTCCTCAGGCTCTTGTACCTTCAGAGGACCCTCAGTGCCTCTCACCATCCTCCCCAGGGCATCACTGCCCACAGGATCTCTCTTGCTCTCTGAACAAGTGACCCCATCATCACATCCCTGTGTGTGACCTCTCCAGGTCACCATGATGACGCTGCTGTGATGCTGCTTCCCACTGGGCAACGCCCCACCCAAGTCCCACTGGGATCTGTGTCTGGGTGCCATGGACCTTCTATGTGCCACCCAGTGTGATTCCTTCAGCTTAGCCAGTGACAAACATCTACTGGCAAGAACCAGCAAAAATTTCATGGACAAACAGATTATTCCCCAGTTTGAGGGCAGCCAGAATTCCTGTTTGCTAGTCATCCTGGCCAAAAAACTTAGGGTTGGGGGGGAGGTGGGAATTAAAAATGAAAGTTGAAGACCTTCATGTGCAGCCTTTTTATTTACCTTTGCTGTGTGTTTTTTTTTTTTTTTGGCGGGGTGGGATGGGAGGAGACTGGATTGAAGGTAATTCGGTTGCAAACTGGAAAAGAGAAAGGAAGGTGGAAATCGCTCGGTGCCTATCAAATGTTTCTGCTCAGTTCTCCCCAAATGTGTTTTTCTTCCCATTGAGGACTGTCAGGGTGAAACATCACCTTTTCCATTGGGGGCTGATGTTGGTTACAAAGCATTTTCAGGGTGGTTGCTGATCCAAAAGGCCCTTTCAGCCCCACAGGCAGGGGTTGCTCCCTCTGTCCACTGTGCAGGGACACTGGCAGCCATGCGTGGGTCGTCTTCAGTTATGCAGAGTTTTCTTCCCCTTTCTTTTCTTCTGGTGGCGCAAATAAGGACAAAGCCTTATCTTGGCCAAAATGTATGTGCCATGATGCAAGGGTCAGTGTGTGGCATGTGACGGGGCTGGGGCCTGCAGTGTTTTCTGCTACAAATACTAGCAGGACAGGCTGAGAGAACAACTGGAAAAAAAGCAATGCAATGGGACTGGAGGTAAGGGGGAGTCCCCTTCCACCTTGAAGTCCCATTGCACTCAGAGCAAGAGCCGTGCTCCGGAGGAGGATGCAGGGAAGGGGTTGCCAGCCCTGCAGCCTCACCTCCAAGAGCCCCTTCTTTGCACCCACGCTCGGGGGAGGTGCGACATTTCATGGGCCGAGGGCCATCCCTGTGTCCCTGCTGGGCTCACAAAGGACGCTGGGCTGCAGAACGGTGTCCACACGCTGCTCTCCCTGGGCTGGGGACTGCCAAGCCTGAGGCCAGCCATCGGGGAAAGGGCTAGCGCTTGCTGGGGAAGTCACACTGATTCTCATTTTCTCTCCTGCCGTAGAGCTCCTCGGCATACCTCTCAGGTCTGTATGGAGCCTCCCCAGTTGGCGCATTCCCACATCAGCACCCCGTAAGTGCCCCAGCCTCCCCCTGCAGGCACGCTGCACCTTGCTTGGCTCTTGCGTGGCCCCTGGCTTGTGCACAGCGCTTCCCCCACCATCCGGGGCTGCGGTGCTCCTGCACCTTGGGGGTCATGTACCCTGGTAGCCTCCAGCCAGCTCTGAACGCCTCCCCGGGTCCCGCAACTGCTCATTCTCCTTGCTCACAGCCTTGCCAGCAAACACTTGCCTTGGCCCGTCTCGCAAATGAAGCTGCTTGGGACTGGTTTCCTCTTCCCTTCTCCACGGTACATTTTCAGCCCTTGCCCTTCTCAAGCCAGACAGGGAGCAAACCCCTGGCTGGGCTGCCCCAAGCCTCTGTGGTGCCGCTTGCAGGGGCGCTGGCATGCAGAGCAGTCCTGGGTCTCCTGGTCTGGGGTTCGTTGGGTGCTGCTGGAGCAGTGGAGGGCTGCGGGCCAGCCCGATGGCCGAGTTAGCCACGCTAGCAGGATCTGCTGCCCGCTGCCTCTTAGCCAGTCTGCCTCCTTCCCTCCCCTTTACCTCCAGTTCTGAACAGTTAGACCCTGCGGAAAGACAGATGTCCCTCTGACAGCGGGTTAGCACCTAGACGTTGCACCCAAAGACTGCTTTAGACGGGCCTCCAGCCCTGCTCGCCCGTCCCAGGCTGCAGGCGCACAGCCAGTGCCCTCCCTATGGGGTCCTGAGCCCACGGGGCTCAGCACAGGCATTGCTGTCCGTGGACGCTGGGGCACAGGCATTCACACCCGGAAACCACGTACTCCTGGTAATGATGTGGCTGACGTACCTCTAGGCCTTTTTGGGAGCCCAGATAGCTTTTGCCTGGGATGGGGGGGGGAGGTGACATAGATGGTCTTTCCGTACGGGACCTCTTATGGCAGCTGAAAGCCACGTCCCTGAGAGCACGTACCCACGGTGGGGGGTTGTGCTGGCCAGAAGGCCCATCCTTGAGCTGCTGGCGCCCCTCGCTTTGGCATCAGGCAGGTGAGGGCAGCAAGGGGGCCTGGCAACAGCAGTCCCCCAGCTGGATGCTTCCAGGAGGAGACAAATTTGGAAGGAGGCACGTGTTTACAGAGGTCCAGGCTCTGCAAAACGTAGGGCAGGAGGACTAATTCTGCTTCTCCTTCACTTGGGCTTAGTGTCGTGCTCTACCTGCTTCTGGAAGAGGAAGGTGGAGAGAAAACGCTGGGCTCCATTTCCCCTGTGTGTGCATTACCCTAAATTGATGCTTTTCCCTCCATATCCCTAGAAAGCAGCAAGGGGTTGCCAGGCATTCAGAAGTGCCGGGGGGGGGGGCCCATGCAGCCCGCCCCCCATGCCCCCCAGCCCATCCTCTTTGCTGATGCAGGCTTTCCTGGGGATC